TGCCATTCTCCGCACCAAGCTACGAACTCGTCAAAGAGACAAGTGAAGCCAATTTCTCGACAAACGTTCTGCCGAATGTATCAAGTCCCCTGTCAGATGCTGGGAATCAGGACAACCTCTATGGCAGACGACTTCGGACTCGGTGCGTTCTACATAGTCTGCATGAGCACAAGACCAAGTTGCGACAGCGAGGTCAACCCACTTATATCAATCGAAAGGAGACTGCGACCACACCAGAGGCCACAACATCTTGGTCTTTATATATTCAATTCCGACTGGATGATACTCCTCTTTTAGAAGCATAGCTGTGTGAATTTCAATGGAAACGCAAGGTCTTCTGATATGATTGTGGCAAAATCCAACTACCACTCCTCTTATCACCAAAAGCGAAGTGAGGTGAATACAGCTTATATTAAGTATAACAAGTAGGATTTCATCCGGTCTTAGTGATTCTGGTGATTGTTCCTGAATGCTAGTTTCTGCATTCCCCGATGCACGCATTTATCGGAGTGGTAGGTTGGTCAGCCCAATTCTAAATTGCACAATCCAACCATCGTAAATCCAAGTCAATCTTCCTTTGGCATCGGGTGCGACCAACTTACGAACTCCTTCCACTAGACTTATCAAACGAAATTAAGGGTATGCCAGCCTCAGAATTCAGAATGGCCTTGATAACTACTTACATTGCATATAAGTAACCTCGTCGATCGAGATGGCAAATTACAAAGCGAGTTGGTGAGGCCTGGCTTGCCTCGAATGCAACATCGGACCTGCGATCCAATGCAACCGTGATTATATGTTGAAGGGAAATTCATTCTGAGGCCTACTCATGTGATTGTGGCAAATGCCAGTCATCAGTCTCTAAATCCACTTAAACCTATTCAAAGTAGGCTGTATGGACATTTGTGGAGAGGGGGAGCATAAGACGACTGATATCCTTTCCCTGTATTATGTAAATGAAACATCGAATTAACAACCCTGGCAAGAACGGCAAAAACAACAGCGATATCAACAAGAATCTGGTTGGCTTTCGGGGTCACCGAATTGTTCACAGTCAGCCTGCCGCTTCGCCATGGCACCAAGATCGAGTTTGAGACATTTGGACAGGAGACTTGACACTCGGCTCGGTGAGTGGGCGGTCGGCTGGCCAGCTGGGTGGGGTGTGATGGCACCGGACATGGTTCGGGGGACCAGGACTTGTGGGGGCGAGATTAGCCTGGATGACCCCTGTCCTTTGTGCATCCACACGAGCGTCGTGGGCTTTTCAGGACAAGCGGGAACTCTTGAGATCAAATTGTTTACCCTTTTCTGTCGGTACTTAAATTACCATTTTCTGTGAGCCGAAGCACACTCCAATACGGTGGGTCGGCTGTACGTGCCCATCGGCCCCTACAGCCTCCTTACTTCGCTCCGATTCCGTCCATGTTTGCCAACCATGCTATTCACCTGCTTGCCGGTTCATACCTTTGTCTTCATTGCGGAGTCGTATCCTTTTACAGGTTGGCTTGTTTGTCAATCGAAGTCTCCCACCACTTATTAAGGGATCACCTGTTCAGTCACCCGATTTCGCAAATGAGACTGGTTTCAAAAATAGCGTGGAAATCACTCGACGTTAGATGGATTACATGGATCTCACACCCTTTATACATACATACATATATACATCTATGCATACATACATACATACATTCATACATTCATACTTACAGGCATACATACATGCATACATACATTCATACATACATGCATACATACATGCATAAATACATACATAAAAGTCGGACGAAGAAGACATGAAATGTGGTGTGGCTCATCCAACTTTGCCCACTTAGTGACGTATCCCGAGTGCTTTGCGAACCTTGAATCCGGATCATTCCTCGATCAGTGGAGAAATTAGATGCACGGGGTGGCTATTCGTGTGCTTTTCGCATGACCAATCTCAGTGAATCCCACCGAAACTCCGTCTTGAGGATCGTTGGAATTCTTCAGAAGCTGGAAGTGAAGTGAGATCAAGAATAGTATCCTAGCCTACAAAGGTTCAGTAGTGTGTCAAGAACAGCGTTCAAATCGGTGACCAGAGTGCGAAGTGTACAATTATGAGATCAAAATCAAAGTTGTACAGTACGAGTTCGTCAGAACGTGTGTGTTGTAGGTAAATAGGCCAATTCGGTTATTGTCTCAATGCAATGGAGCGTCCCACTTCAGAGCGACATTGGGAAGTCTTCTTGTGAATGAAGCGGTCTCCTTGGCCGGAAGCCAGGTCAATCGAA